AGATAAAAAACCCTTAAGGCAAAGGAGGAGAGGAAGAAGCTCTCCCTTGGGCATGCACATGCCTTCAAAGGATAACCACGAACCCCATCTTTTCTCAGGTGTGTATCTTTGCTTTATTTCTAAGCTCTAAAAGTTTCCAGGACACTTTTTCCCCGGGGGAGCAACAGGCAACGGCAGCTCATCCTGAGCAACACCCGGAACCTTTCTGCAAGGGCCCTCCTTTTGCCTCTATAACTTGTTTCCTGAGTCCACACCGCCCAGCTGACTCACTGCTGCCTCTTTCTAAAGGACCAAGACAGCTCTGCCTAGGCTCACTCCTGTTGCTCTGATCTTGCCTCTTCTATCTTAAGCCTTTCCTTTGTTTCACTGTCCCCAGCTTTAATAAACATACCTCAAAATCACTGGACTAGTATCGTGAAATATTTCCTGCATGAAGTCAAGAACCCACACATTCGACTGAGCCAGGGCAGACCTGCCTCAGTCCTGGTCCCTTTTCAGTGACTGGTTATTGGGAGCATCTTCACATATGACAAATTTTTGTGTCCTTACCTTTAATTTCCTGTAGCACTCTTTTTCACTTCTGAAAGAAAGGCTATTTTAACAGCAATTGCAACCTCAGACTCTTTTACCTCTATTAAGAAAAGTGTATGATATTTCAAGGATGAAATTATGATGTATATTTTATTTTGAAATGCAGATGTTTCCTTTTCCTTGGGAGGGTGTTGGGTTGTGAGATTCTGGAAGCATCTAATTTATAGTCATAGCTTCATTTGAGTAACATTTAAGGTCAGAGTACAGTGAAGTAGCAAAAGATAATAATAATAATAAAAAAATACCCCAGAACTTTAAAAACCTGAAACAATACACAAAATATATAACCCACACAGCGACAACTTAAGCTGACTTTCTTAAAATATGGCTTCTGACTAACCTAATCTATATATATAAAAGCCCAGCGACCGGAACGGCGAAATGACCAGAACGACCAGAACAACTGGTGACTATGACGCGCATTGCGGCAGCCAACCAGCCTGATCCGGGCCTGATCGGCCCCCAACACCCCGATCAGGGGCGGGGCCGGCCGCCAACAGTCCGCAGCCTCCCACCCCCACTGGCCTGGCCCAATGGGCCCCCATTGGAGCAGACCAGCCGGAACCCACTTGTGCACGAATTCGTGCATCGGGCCTCTAGTAGATAATAACAAATACAAAGAATCCTTCAGCAATAAGAGAAAGTCTTTTTTTATAACCCAGGCAGAGTTTTCCAGTCAATGGCCTATTTCCCCATCCTTTCAAATTCTAAGTTGACTAATACTAAACCCAAGTCTCACCTGGGACCTCAGGAGAGAATCTTGCAGAGTGTCGAGATACAAAAAGTTTCAGTTCTTGGTCTAAGTTGCATTCAATCAGGTTTGTGTCCCATGATCGGATTCCTAAGGAGGAAAAGGAAAACAGTTGACAGACTTCCAGTTGGTCATTTCAGAATGGTTAGGAAAGCATCACTGTGACAAGTCTCAGGCTTTCAGGAAGGATGTGGAAACTCCTTTTCTGAAGAGCTTGGTGATGGGATGCCCACAAGATGGGAGGGCCAGGGAGTTCTCTCCACCAGGCCGCAAAGGAGGGATAACTAGCAATGTGGACTGAACTTCTGTCCCTCGTAAAGTATAAATGCAGCTTTTCTGCAAGAGTAAAAGAAAACAGTTATTAGGAAAATGACAGGCTTTCCTCCAGCGAGGGAATAGAAAGGACAGAAAGATGGTGAGTTCTGAAGCAGTTAAGAGGCCACCAGACAATCTGGCTTCCCCGTGGTCTACTTGTAAGTGGCAAGAAAATGTAGGATGAGGGTGGGAAAGCCAGGGGCACAGGGGCTGGCATTCGAGCCCAGGCCTTTGCTTTTTAAATGTTCCTGCAGGGTGCCTATGCATTTTGTGTGCATGTACAGTTTCTTTTCTTTATCCATCCCACTTCTGACCTTAGTTTGCTAACCCCTGGATATCAATGAAAAGTTTGTGTGATCTTTGATGAAAAGGCTGGATCTCAGTCTTCAAGACTTAGCCTGTCGGTCCTCCTAGGCATTTATTTTACCTGCTCAGCTTGGCAAGCAGCTCTTTCATTCACAATTGTTAGTTGTGTTGCATTTTCTCATCCAGAGACAAAGAAATGTGGCCACTTTTTATACTTCATAAACTTTCTACAGAGTTGGGGGCCATGCACTGTCTATTCCCACAGAAGCTCACTGCTGCCTCTTTCTGAAGGACCAAGACAGCTCTGCCTAGGCTCACTCCTGTTGCTCTGATCTTGCCTCTTCTGTCTTAAGCCTTTCCTTTGTTTCACTGTCCCCAGCTTTAATAAACATACCTCAAAATCACTGGACTAGTATCGTGAAATATTTCCTGCATGAAGTCAAGAACCCACACATTCCAGACTGTGCGAGGGCAGACCTGCCCCAGTCCTGGTCCTTTGTCACTAGGCTGGAAGCTGGGGTGAGAGGATACCCGGGCAAGGACTGCTGTTGCCCTCCCTCCCTAGTCTCCTCCTTCTTGCCCCTCTGCCCTCCTCTCTCCTGCCCTCCCAAAGGAGATGCAGAGAGGAGCCCAGAGGACATCAGAGAAGGGAAATCTGAGGAGCAAGCCAGTGTCAACTGAGGAACCACAAAACTCTGGAGTGGGTATGTGTTTTATATATTTTTATATTTCTCCAAATAACTAGATGGCTCATGGCAGAGCCAGTGTATAGTATCCATAATTGTACCTTTGCACGGGCATACTTAACTGCCAGGAACAAATCTCTGGAACTACAATCATTTACTACATACCTACTAAGGGCAGGGCTTGAAAGTAGGTATATCACAGCTAGTGAATTATCATTTTTGCTGGTCATTAGTTGGGTGCACAGACTTGGAAGTACCTACAGGAGTGCGTTATTTAAATACACCTCTAAATCCTAAATGCATATCTGCATTTATTCCCATTTATCTCTTGTTCATTCTTCCTATCTTGCAAAGAATCAAGGTAGATTAGATTAGATAGGTGGAAAGGAAGGAAGGAAGGAAGGGAGGGAGGGATATGGATACTATATAGTGGCTCTACCATGAGCCATCTAGTTATTTGGGGAAATATAAAAACATATAAAAATATAAGAAAGAATACACACACATTACAAAATATTCTGGGCACTCAGTTGACTATACATCAAAAATATCTTCAGCCCTAGCCAGTGTTGCTAAGTGGTTAGAACATTGGCCTGCACACTAAAGGGTCTCGGGTTTAAGTCCCAGTCAAAGGCGCCCAAAAAATATGTATATGTATTCAGATTATACACCAAACACTTTTTCAACTATGAAGAATATTTTCCAATAGATGTATGTCCACTATAGGGAGGGAGAAATTTCTCCACATAATCCGTGGGAATAATTCAGGTATGAAAGAGTTAACATTCGTAAAGAGAGGCTAAATTATAAGGGAGAATTTTATGAGTCTCCCTGGAAACATTATCAGTCTCAGTTTGCATTTGTGCTAATGGAGTATTTAAATTTTAACAAGAAAGGCATGTTG